TGGCGGGGTGCTGCAAGGCTGCGTGCCCCAAAGGCACAGTTCTGGGGTGCAGGAGGAGACACGTGCTGGAGCTCCCGGCTGGGAGCTGCCTGCGGGCGCTGATGATGCCCTGTGCCTCTCCCAGCTCCGGCAGCATGCGGGCAAAGTCCACACTTGTGAGGCAAAGATATCCCTTGCGGCCCCAGGAGGAAATACCCACCCGGGGCGATGGTTTGCAGCGAGCTTAGTGCTGATCGATAGCTTTGCCCCAGAGCTGCAGCTCCATCCTGCCCGTACCTGGTGGAAGGTGATGATGAGCGCTGACCACACGAAGATGCCGGAGATGGCCTGTGCCGCCGTGGTGGTGAGGAAGAGCTGCTGGCCGTCCTGGGAGTCATTGTGGGCAGTCATCAGCATGGCAAAAGCTGGGGAAGGGGTGGCCGAGGGCAGCCTGGTCACCGTGCTGGGCCCCGGGGAGCCGGGTGGCGTGGGAGAGGGCACGGCCCGGGTGGCATTACTCATCTGCAGGAGGGAGAGGCACGGGGAGTGGCGCAGGATGGAGGTAAGCTGGGGAGGGGGAAGGTCCCTGCAGGTTTCCCGGCCCACGCAACGTGGACAAACCACCTGTGAGTTTTTCTCCTCCCCAGGCCTTTTCCAGCAGGTCCCTCGCCCAAGCCAGCCGATTCACCGTGGCCAGGGCTGCTACAGGACAATGCAAATGTCCTTCATGAGCAGACCCTCGTGTCTCCAAGGGGGTGTCTGTGCTCCCTGTGTCCCCTGAAATGCCTGCTTTTCCCCGCCTGCCTTGCTCCTTCTGGTTTTCTCAGGGAAAGACCTGTCCATGTTTGCGCTCCTTGGAGGACACTTGTGGCTCAGGATCCTTTTTCACCAGGCACCAGAGACTTAAGGCTTAAAATCACCCCCATCCAGCCCCTTACCAACAAGCCATCAGGCCCCTGACATCCCTGCAGACAGTGCGTGCACATCTTCATCTGCCTGGGAGTCCAGAGAGCACCAAGACCCTTGTAGTGTCATCCCCCCCCCCCAAAATGTGGCTCCTTTCCCCATGGGTGACACGCTAGGGGCAAACCCCAGGGTTTACCAAGGAGCTGGGCATTTGGCATCACCATCACTTGAAGTTCAGCCAGGGAGCAAGCAGCCCTTTTGGGATTTAGGGGGTCCTGCTGGGATTTGGGGATGCTGGAGCACTCCTGCACCTCCACAGCGTCCTCATGGGCAGCTCTGCCCTCCCCAAAGCTGCTCACCCCAAGCACTCCCAGCACAGAGAGTGGCCTGGACACACAGGGCACTGTGCACCCTGCAGCTCCAAACAGCAAGGACCAGCCTAATAATACACTTTTATTTATAGGGCAGCTTCATATCTCAAGGCCAACAGATGCACAAACTGCCGTGTTTGGCCTCTCTTTGTGCTAATCTATGGAAAGCTGCTTTTTCCCCAAGTACAACAATAGCGGTTTGAAAACCAGCAGTGAGAGGAGCTCTACCAATGCAGACACTCCTCGGCACGCTGGTCATAAACAAAGATTTCAGCTGCTCGGTAACTATCACCCGGAGGAAAACCTGTAAGCACGGACTGGCGAGCGGCAGGAAAATATTTGCCATTGATAAGCCTGCGAGGGAATGACCTCGATCCACTTAAAACACAGAAACCAACCCAAAGCCGGAGCTCGCCTGGCTCGCCCTCTCCCCGAACCCCAAGCTGGTAGGAGAGGAAACCCAGCTGGTGTCAGATCAACGGCCCTAAAAATACCTCCCGCTGCCTGTAAGCGGAGATGCCCGGGGCGGGCTGGGTGGCCGCGGGCTGGCGAGGTCCCAAGGGCTCGTCCCGGTGTACCTGCGGCTGGCCGAGGGCTCACGGAGGTGGCAGGAGCCAGGGTTTTTTGCTCCGTGCAGCCGTCGTGACCCTGCCCCGGCCAGCAGGAAGCAGGATCCCGGGGAGGGATCTGTTCTTTGGACAGAGCGGACCTGCCTTGTAAACATTAACTGGAGGCCAGGGACAGCTGGAGGCGTGGGGAGGAGGGAGAGAGATGAGCTGGGCCCCCTTCCCCGCAGCCCCCCATGCTTTTTGGGGATGCCCTGTGTCAGGTGCTGTCCCTCTGCCCAAGCTTTGTGCTGAGGGAGGGCACGATCCGGCTCAATTCCTAATTGCTCGACCCATTTATTCTGTTCTCAGCCCGGCGCCGTGCCGCGGATGCTCGGCCCAAGCTGTGCTGCCTCCTATTAGCTTTCACAGCCCGGCTGCGCAGTGAGCACCAAGGCACCAGCAGCCGGCCCTGGCAGGCTCTCCCGCATTGTAAAACTCTTAACACGTCGCAGCAAGTCATTAAAAACAACAGCCTCCGTGCCACTCGGAGCCAGGGCTCCCAGCTCCAGAGGTAATCAGATCCCGGCCGTGCAAGGTAGCCGGGCAATTCAATGCAGCCAAGGGCCCGTTTGCTTCCAAAACAAAGGCAGCCAGGAGGTGCGAGGGTAATTCTAGCTCCAAAACTCAGCTCAACGGGACGGTGCTAGGGCCACATCCAGCCGGGCTGTGCTCAGACACCTGCCCTGTGCCCCCCTGTGACTTGGGGATGCTAAGGGAGCGCTGAGCCAAAAAAAAAAACAGGCAGTGGCACCTTTCTTGGGGCAGACCGCCTGTAGGATTGTGTTATCCGGGATCTTCCTTGCATGACAGGCTGCTGGATCCCTCCCCAGCTGCCTGCTGCCAGGACGCCTTGCGGAGCACAAACCCCACCCTGGCGGCAGCCCCGCAGGGCAGGGACAGCCAGAAAGGGAGCAGAAGCCCCCGCAGCCCCCCGCCAGGAGGAATACCTCCAGCATGTGCCCAAAATAAGGCAGAGCAGCACCCAAAATAAGGCGGAGCAGTGGGTGATGCACGCACAGGCTGTGCCCTGCCACCTGCACCCACAGGTGCTGGGAGCCGATGGCTGGGGCAGCCTCTGCTCTGTTTGAGGAGCTCCAGCAGCCCACCGGGACGCCCCAGCAGCCCACCAGGACTCCCCTTCCCCATCCCAGGGCCCCACTCACCCTGCGGGGCTCCTCCGGGAGCCGGCCTCGGCTGCCTCCTGCCGTGCACCTGCCTCCGCATCCCCTGCGCCCTCCTCCACCACAAGACTCCTCCTCCGGGCACCTTCCCAGCCAGGCACCCTCACCTCGCCAGCCCCGGGGGGCTCAGTCCCAGCCCCTCTGCCCCTTCCCTGGGCCCCAGGGTGGCTGGAGCAGCAGGTAGAGCTTTGCCTCCTGAAGAAAAGCTGCCAAACGTACCTTTCCAGTCCGCCCCACTTGGCACCCACGCCCGGAAAGCAAACACGGAAGGCTCCGGCGCTGCTTCCCCGTGAGCACCCCGTGGCTGTGGGTGAGCACCGTGCCGCCTGCCTGGGCAGCGAAGATGGTTCTCCTTGCTGTTGGGAGTTAAATCTTTCCCGGAGGATAACGATGACTAAAAGGCAGACATCTGGTTGTACAAGCAGCCAGGCTCGCGTGGCTGTTTTTTGGGGCAGGCCTTCCCCCAGCTTTACTGCAGAGCAAAGAGCAAAGTCGAAGGACCAACTGCTCATGGTCAGATTTATCACCCGCAGGAAGGCAGCCAGATAAGTCTGTTGCGGCTCCGAGCATCAAATGGCAGAGATTGCCACGTCCTTTCTTTGCCTGCCACTGTGTGCAGACCTGGTGGCAAAGAGAACCAGGAAATTATGGTGGTTAATCTGTGGTTGGCGTTCAGGTAGCGACACTCAAAGTCTTCAGGGCACAGCAGTGGTGTGCTGACGTTACCACCACAGTGGGAGATGTGATTTACATTCAATTTGCTGATTAACATACACTTTCCACAAGTTGCTGGACCCACAGACACCGTAGGAGTACCACGAACCAGGAAATTCACTGAATTTTGTAACGGAAAAGGATCTCTACCAGCAAACCAGGATCAGCATTAACAAATTCCACATGCCTCTCTCAGCCCTCCTAGAGCAACAACATAAAAAAGTGTAAAAGAGAGAAAATGTGGAGTTCTGACAGATGCAAATCTTTGAATCTTGGAAGCACAGTTTGGAAAACTATTTTTAGATGAAATTTCTTGTCAAGGGCAGCTGCGAGCCTGCAGCTTTTGAACGTACTTTAAAAAAACCTTTCATTTCTCATTATCCTTTAAATATTGTAAATAACCCTTACTTCAGAGGGAGTCCTTTTGAAGTTCATTTTCTGCTTTTCCACCTTTAGGGGATCTTTTAGCAACAGAAATGATCCTGCAACTGGATCTACACAGGGAATGGCTGTGCTGATTCTGCTAATATCAATGGTTCCTAACACAACACAGGTCTTTCCTGCCCAGAATTTGAACACAAGACCTGGCCTCTGTCTACTCAGTCAAGTTCATAAGTGACAAAAGTGTGTAATGGCTTACTTAAAAATTTACTACTTGGTGTTAATTGTTCAAAGAAAAGGTAAAAACAAACCTGCTTTCCAAGGCAAATAGCAAGAGCTGGGCTATTAAGTGTTGCGCTTACTCACATGACTTCAAGTAACACCACTTCTTTTCAATGGACTTGGCAGACACACCGCTGTGTAACCCCCACGAGTCCTTCTGACCTCACGTCTCCTCTGACAGATGGTTTAGAACAGGGGCAGCTTGCTGCGGGTGGTCCAGAGCTACGCACATGCTGCCTCTCTAAAATGCTGGTGACATATAACAAGTAAACAGCCAATATTTTGTCGTTTTTCCACTACTAATTTGGGTTCCTTTCTGCCATCCTGACGTCAGCTTCACAAACTTTGAGCAGTTTAATTATCTACCTCTCTTTAAAATTTGACTGAAAGTAAAGAATGGGTTCAGAATTCATCAGGAAGGGACTGACATACGGACAAAAGCACTCATATAGGACTCATTTCCTTAAAAAAAACAGTCAAGAAAGTCTTTCCTATTATGCAACTGCTGCTGATTTGTTAGCGAGGCTTGTATTTCAATTGAAGTGATTTTAATAGAGTAAGAAAGAAAACACATAAAATTAGATTCATCAATGTTTCTTTTATTCACTCTGCACTGGGTGTTCCCCTTTGCGGTACACTGTAGCTACAGAGCTTGGCATCTATTACTCCTCAGGACACAAATGCAGAGCCATGTTTCTCAAATATACAACCCACCCAAAGTGATAAAAATAAAATTTCTCTTGTATGTCGAGACAATTGTGCTTGTCTCATCACTGACTATATGGACTGCAAACCTGTCACAGTAATAAAACCCACAAACATTCTACACAGTAGAGAAAAATTCATCAAATTCCTCAGTATGTCCAAAACCAGCACAAAGACATTCCATCATTTTCATTTTTTGTCCTTTTAAAAAAGTGGTGATGAGTCATGGACTCAAGATCATTTCCTTGAATCCAGATGGTACAACTTCACCACACTTGGCAACTTCGGATCACTTCCCGTAGAGCTTGTATTCCTTCCATGGTCTTGTCTTTTAAAGCCATGGCGAGAAGAACAGGTTTGTTCCCAGCTTCCTGAGACACGAACGCCACCAGGTTTTTGGCACAAACATGGACGAGGGGCTGAAAAGCAAAGGTATACAGATGTGTACTCTTACAGCTGGGAGAGCCCTCCTACGTGCGTTAGGAGAGGAAGAGTCTTGCAATGACTTGTTCGTGGAGCACACAGAGAACCTGCCCATACTGGACTCAGACTGAACATGAGTTTGCTGAACAGTTCCAGCATGATTAGAAACAGACACACAGCTTGGCTGGTCAGCAAAGCCAAGCCATGGTACAGGACATTTTAGAAAGCACTTTCTCAACTATCTTAAAATGGAAGAGTTTGGACCTGAGAGCGACAGCTGTTCAACCCACCCTGAAACAACTTAACGGGAGCTAAACTTGAATTAAGTTTTGCACTGGTTTGGAAAATTTGGAAAGCTGGTGTGGGGAGTCTTTCCTTCCACTGTTGTAGAAAGACAGCGAAGAAAGTTGTCTTGTTTTGTTTTTTTTTTGCAATTCTTAGAAATCTCAAAGTGGTGTTATATACACACTCTTTGCATGCCATGTGTAAAAGATGTGTTTCTGATTTTAATAGAATAATGAAAAACAGAAATAAATGGTGAGGCCAAAGCAAAGAAGAAAAGGGATAGATTTTTCTGAGTGATGTTTCTTTAACAAGAATGTCCAGCTTGTCTAGGATTTATTGACACCATAGCTATGTATTTATTAAAAGGCTGAGCTTGTTTGATTTTAGCAATCATTGTGTGTTGGAAGTGTGTCCTATCCCAAATGGGGATGTTAATGGCAACAAGCAGGAAACCAGCAAACTAAAAAGCCTTTCCTTAAAGTTTAGATTGATTAAGTTGGTAAAATTATTTAAAAATACTATGTAACCAAGTATAAAAAGGCACTTTCCATCTCCAAAATAAAACATAAAACCAGATTGAAGGTGGTGCCATTCAGAATTAGCAGATGTCACACCTACCAAAGCAAAGGTTCTCCCATCCAGGAAAGGCAGCTATTACTGAAGAATGAGAACTCCATAATGAGAAGCTGCAGACAGAATTGGGAACCTGTGCTGCTAGTTTTTTCTACTTTAGGCTCGTAAGTAATATTTGACAGCTCCAGCCCTGATGGAAAGCCTCATAATCTTGTAGCTCTGTAACTTTTTGTTTTAATGCTTGACTAGTTGACGCTTTGCAAAATGCGTTTCCTTCTGCTTTCTCTCCAGCTTTGTGAAATAGTCGATAAAAACTCATTTTGTTGAAGCAAAACAAATTAAACTTTATCAAGGGCAGGTGCTGGCAAGCACACTTGGGAGAGGGCAACTAAAGTCCATTATGGGGCTGGCATGGGTGGGGGCTGGGGGGAGGAGGCGAGACTTGAAAAGTTAAATTTATTGGAACTGAAACCCAGAAAAGGTTATCGAAGGCCAAATGTTTGATCTTGCAACCTTTAAATCAACACCAGCTGTATCAAACCTGCCATAAACACTGCAAAGCAACCCATATCCTGTAAGATACAAAATAGCAGGCCCCCAAACCACTCAGTTAGTTAAACTTACGCTGAAGAACAGATAAATGCGCATATTTTTCTGATGAACCCCTCTTCCTTCGGAACAGATTTTTACATTAATTTTACCACTATGCAAACACTGCTTAACTACGGTGATTCATCAACTCCCTGGCAACTGGCGCAGCCCCACCTACCACATTTCCCCCTCTGCCTTGGTGCCAGCGTGCTGTACATCTGTTCTTACCTCATCCTTGCCCAGTAGCACTTTTGTGGTGAGCGAAGGCCTGCCAATGTTGTCGCCTATTGTGTTGGGGTCCACATAGACGAGCGTCCCCAGCTTGCCGTACTGCGTTACCACCACAAGAATGGAGTTGGAGAACGCCGTGCACACCACCTCCGTGGGGACCCCGTGTACCACTTCCTCTCGCTGCTTTGACGTCACGATGGGATTTGCTGCCATTGCTGCAGAAAACAATAACACGACATTAGATTAAAAACACGGACCACAGGCTATAAAAAGCCTGAATCCTTTCATTCACTTGGTGTACCGGGGTTAAGTTGATTTCAGGGCGTAACAGCACCCAGAGGTGTAGGCGAAGCGGTGAGCCTGGACAGGAACAGTTGTCAACACCCAGCATCCACATGCACCTCACAGGAAGCTGAAATACAAATGCCCCCACATGGAAAAGTTGCTGTTTATAGGTTTTCACACAGCTTGCAGTTTAATGATGACTGGACCTGTCCCCACCAAGCGCAGCACGATGCAAAACCTCATGGCAGTTCCTCACGCTGACTGCCATCAAGGGGAGCCCCCCCAAACCCCCGCACCTCCCAGACTTCAGCATTGAGTGGGCAGGCAAGCAGGAGACAAAAACACCACCAACAACAACCCAAAACTATGTATTTTTTTTAGGATTGGCCCCCCCACATCGCATCCCTCAGAGATGAGGGGAGCAGCGCTGCGCCCCCACAGGACCCTGGCTGCGGGAGGTGCCCGCTATCCCCTCACCCTGCCCTGGGCTCAGGCTGATCACAGCCCCCGCTCGGCCGCCCCTACCCTCCTCAGGCCGTCGCCGCCGCCGCCGTTCTCCGCCCGGGCCCGCCCAGCCACGACAGAAGCGGCGCCTTTCCCCTCCCTCCAGCCGCCCGCGGCGCGGGGAGATGGCGCAGGGCCGCCGCCATCGCCGCCGCCGTCCCCTCAGCGCGGGGCCGCCATTAGCGGGCCGCCCGCCCAGGGAGGCGCCATCTGCAGCGCCCCCCCCCCAACCTCTTCTCCTCTCACGGGTCCCCCCCCAAGCCCCTTTTTGGGTGTTTTCTGCCCGTTTTTCGCTGAAAATCGCGGCTGAAAATATAGGAGGGAGTGGGATGTGCCCGTCCGTGATTGCCCAGGATGTGTGGCGGGACGGGGTTGACCTGGTGGCAGGATGGAGGCTGCTAAATTCAACCTTTAATATTTATTTATTTATTTATTTATTTATTTATTTTTCTCAAGTTTTCAGGCAGGATGTGACTGTGCCCAGCAGCTGGGGGTTGTGGTGTGGTGCTGAGTGACTGAGGACTGCAGGGCGGGTCAGCAAAGGGGACACATTCTGTCACCACACCTTTGGTTTTGGGCCATCCATGAGTTCAAGGCTGCCTTCACTTGGGTTCCTCCCTCCCCTGGCACTGGTGGGATACCTGGATTCAATGCTGATGGGAGAAACAGCGTTGTTTTTACCAATAAAATACCCTTCAAGCCGTGCCCCCTTTGGTCTTGGTTGCTGAGCAGCATGCATATGGCTGGAGCAAGTAGCTGCTGCCCACCTGTGCTATAATGGGAGATAACGGCATGTATGTGAAGCGTGCAAAAAGATATTTATGTACCATGAGCCATTCACACAAACATTTAATTTCTGTTACGTCCGTACAGTTATTTTAGTGCTAATTAGGATTTTTCTCCTTTCCTTCTTTGAATTGCTAGTGCTTATGAGTAACAATTTTGGCCAATTTATACAAAGTTCTGGAAACTGTTTTTTTCTGAGATTCACAACTTTCTGGACTTTTGCATTTGCTGCGCTCAGTGCATCTAAAATTCAATCTAAACCTTCATTTCTACTTGTTAGCTGTTCTTTACCATTCTTCATACCAGACACAAAATATCCCAGCTATGGTTGCAGGAAAAACGTCCTGAATGCTGGGTTACCTCTTCAGAAGATCACTCTTAGGAGCTCATGATATTTTTGTTTTGTATTAAAAGTTTCAGCAAAACTTTTAACTAAATTCTAGGAAGAGCACATAAACTTCGTGCTGAGAATGCTTTAAGGCACCATTAGAGAGCAGTAGAGGTCCACGGAAAAAAACTTCTGCTAGAGCAGGTTATTGTGGTTAACGCAAAAGGAGAGGCTTGATACCTTTTTGGCACTCTGCACAGTCTGGCAAATAGTCTGTTTTCCAGCACTGCGAAAAACCAGCATTCCTATTTCTTGCCTACCACAATCACTTGAGGCTTTGCCTGTTTGACAGAGATAATAGCAGCTCTTGTCAGTAAAGCCTCCTGACTCATGAAGAAGTTTATTCCTGCTCTACCTTCTCTGGAGAATAATTTTACTTCAGGAAACACAAAGGACCAGATTCTTCCTGCCATCCTTGCCAGACTCTGTTTTATTTTTTTTACATGACAGGAGGACAAAGACAGTCCACTGTAGTTCAAACTTACATGGAAACAGCTCTGTCCCTCATACTTCACTGGTTTTCATTAGGTTTGGAGCAAAGAGTTATTTTTAACAGTTTCATTTAATTGGAAGTCACATTTTGGCACGGATCTGAGGTAGGATATAGGAAACGCATGAAGCAGACAGCAAGAGGTAACTGAGCCCTGAATTTTCATCACAAAAAATAAATACATTAAAAAAATATATGGATTACTTTTAAGGAGATTGTATTTGACTGTTTTTTGTCTGACTCAGGCAGGGCATGGGGATTTGAGAATGCACACCTTGGTAGATAATGGGACCCTTCCTGTGGGGTCTGCCCGCCTGACCACCACCTGCTTCCCATCATGTTCTGGCTGAGAAAGATACGTATCTGTGCTTACAGTCTGGTTATCTATAGCACTTTTCATCCAAAGATCCCTAATCACATTGCAAACATTATTACATTTAGCTTCATGAACTCTCTTTTGACATACGAGGTTATTAATATACCCCATTTTACGGTCCAAGGGAAATAAAGAATTGAGGGAGACAGCAGCTGAGAAGCCATCACGTCCTTGGCCAGAGATTGTGCAGGATTCCAGGATCTCTTCCATTCCCAGGCACTGAGTGCTGAAGAAACATAAGTCATGCATGTCACTATCTCAATTACCAGTGAAACTCAATGACTGTGCAGCCCAATACTTTGACAAGAAAAACTACTCATAATACTGCAGTTTTATACCTTTATTATTATTTATTTGAGCAGCTTCTTACTACTCTTCCTTTTAAAATGCTTAAGTGCCTATGTGTAGACTGGAAGCAGTCTGCTTTTTATAATAATCTTTGCATTTATCTGAAGTGATTTTATAGAGCAAATGCGTAGGATCCACAGAGCATTAGAAATGTTTCCCACTTCTCTTGAAAACTAGACACATAGTGTTTCAGGACATCCATTAATAATCCCTGCTCTTGGGAGTGCCTAGCTATCAAAGCGCTGGGTTGGTTTATTAGTTTACAGGTTATTACTTCTCTAGTTTAGATTTCTCTCTTGTATCTTTTATGATGCAGAATATAGACTGTGAGCTGGAACCTCAGGTGCAGCTGGGCTCTGGTCTGCGCATCCAAGGAGAGAGGAAAGGAATTAGTTTGCTCCCTGATGCAGGAGCTGCTTGGGAATTATTCTGACCCTTGTTATCAATCAGGTACGTGAAGCAGAGCTGCTGTTAAGGGCTCTTGTCTGGCCAGGCAATATCAGAGTGCTCCTCTTCACCGTATCAGCATCACAGCAAGGTCGGGAGGGTGTGGGTGGTGCAGGGTTATGTGCCTGCTTGTCACTGCTCCCTCTTTGGGGCGGTTGTGTCAAAGGGGTAAGAGGGATGACAGAAATCAACCTCCTGGCTTTTTCAAGCAGTTCCCACTGCATTTAAATGGAGTTTGACAGAGGCTGTGTCCATGTCCAGAAAATAGCACTGAAATGAGAGCCTAGGGAAAGTGGAGGAGCACATTTGGTGCTGTTCTTGAAGATCTGCTTTAGTACCAGAAGCCTTTTTATCTCAGCTGGCTATCTCTGCAGCCAGTTGGGAGAGGCTATGTCACGCCTAGATATGAAGCAGAAGCACACCTTAGAACCTGGCTACCTACAGCTAGGAGTCAAGCCTGCTGGGGCTGAAGCTGGCTGTTGTATCTCCTGGTTTCTAAACCCCAGTCAGGCTTACACCTGACATAGGTATGTGCCTGATAAACATGACCCAAAGAGAACAGCTTCTGCACGTGGACTGAAACAGGACATCAGGTTTGCAGGGAAACCTGAGGTTAAAATCTGAGTTCGGACATGTCCAGGTTTAGGTGACAGCTTAACAGGACTTTCAGAGTTTCAGTATCATTTCCTATTCTAAGAGATCAGTCCAGGAGATTTGCTTTGTCCTTAAGTTTTCTACACAGCTCTCATTGTATGCGACATCTCCTATTTCATTCATTTGTTGCATAACTAAGAGGAAGGCTAAGCCAATCAATCAGGCATTGCAGAAGCCCTCTAAGCTATTTACCTGTTCATTGATTAAGCTTTTTTTCTTTTTTTTTTTTTCTTAGTGAAGAATTCAGCCTGAAAAATAAAAAAGAAAAAAAAGAACCAACCACACCACCACAACTTTCTAACAAAACAACAACAAAACAAGCTCAACAACTAATTATTTCCTTTCTGTATAGTCCTTAGACTGCAGTCAGCTGCACATCTGAATTGCTGTATGTAGTTGCATGCCTGAGACTGTCAGGTCACCCTATTGTCTTTTTTTTTTTTCTATCATTTTCAACATAGTAAGAAAACAATATGGGAATGTTCATTGATGTCTATGTAAATAGCAACTTCCCACATGTGAACACTAGCGTATTCTCCTGCAAAAGCTCAGTGTGCAGGGTAGGATTTAAAAACATGGCAATAAGCCAACATGCTCTGGCTGGGCCTGGAAACATCTAGGTAGCAATTTGACTAGAGCTCTTTACATTTTTTTTTTCCCCCAGATTTAGCAAGCTATAAATAGAAGTACTCCAGGCCTTGTAGGACTTTGTTATGCTGTGTCATTTGTGTTTTCTGGGCTGCTGTGCAGAGTGGGGTAGGAGGACTTGAGATCAATGAGACTGGGATGAGAAATGGGCTTCTTTGATGCTCGGGAGAATTTAAGAAAGGGGCTGCTCCCGAGATTGTAGAACCTGGTACAAGTGAGACAAGTCACACCTACAGAAGGACTTTGCTGAAAACGGTTTCCTGGGTGCTTGATCTTGAGCAGCAGTAGTTTTCTTATAGCCAGTACCTTGAAAACCAGTGGATCCTACATTTATTTGCAAAAATTATCCAGAAATGACTTCAGCAGCTGCTGAAATGAAAATGACATTCTTGAAATGTGTGAAATGCATCCAGAACAGCCCCAGTCTACCTAAAGAACTCCAGCTACCTAAAAGGCTCGGGATTACATCATGCAGTCTCGGTGGTGCTAACAATAATTTTATCTACAATATTTATCATAAGATAACAGCTGCCTGTACTGGGCACTGCACCCAGGGGGTACAGAGCAGATCGAGTCATCATGCTGCAAGATTGAGTTTGAGTACTGTTTACATAATTTTCATTTGTCAAATAACAGCCCTACATTGATCATGACCATGACAGTGCCTGTGGATGGTATCATCCATCAACAGATCCACTCTGTGAGCAGCAGAAACTTTGAATTGCTGGAACGGCTGAAGAAATTATTTCCACGGATCAGTAAAGACAGCAGTAATTGTCATAAAGCTCATTCTAGTTTGTGCAGGAGTTTTTCAGTTGCTCACGGTGGTCTGTCAAATGAAAGGCAGCATGCAAATGGAGTGGATCATAAAAATAATAATAGCATAGCTTCTAAGAACAAAATTCGTACTGCTCTTTGTTGCTAAGAAATGTGGAGACAAAATAACAACTTGACTCTTGCAGAAGCAACAAGAGAATATCAGACTATGGGTATAATGCTAATAGCATGGTCGGTTGTATAAATC